TAATTCAATGAGATGTCATATATCCAATCTGAAAGTAAGGTTATAATGTGTACGTGAAATAGACAAAATTCCAACTCCACCACAAGAGTGGTGTTGAAATGATGTTTATTGTTTTTGTATAGCCACTAGAAAGGCCAAGGAACATTTCCTTCTAATGGTTCAACTTATATTGGTAAAACGCATTTATCTTCTTTATCGCATTTATCTTATGTACATAATATATTATGTAAAATCTATATAACGGGTTGTATTACTTAATAATCGCATAATCTTAGCAAAACCGAATAAATTGGAATCTTAAATCCTACATACCATTATGTGACATGCATTGCATAATATTACGAAATGAACCAACTTTGATCCACCAAGTTTGAATGTAGATGTTCTGAACCAAAGCCATAATGCTTTTTTCCATTGCTTCATGCGTCAGTTCACTTTATAGTGTCATTAATTAATATAAAGGTTTAATATAATCTACATACTACATTAGTAAAAAAAAATATCATACCTCCAAGAAATGGTCCAAGTGCGTTTCCAAAACTAGCAGAAAATAAATACCAACCGAATGCACTTGATAAATGTTCTGTGCCAACGCATACTTTCATGGACACAGAACCGTGTAATGCGACCCCAATACCACAGGAGGTACCGTATAATATCGCCATCAAAGCATATACCCAATAGTTACCATTGGCGACAAGAACGAGCAGTGCTGACGCACCGCACACGCAAAAGGCACAGGACGAAAGGAACATTGGGGAAAAATATCCGAGGTCTACGAACCAGCCATGCAATACTCTGCCAAGTATTGAACATATACCCAGAATTGTCATTACAAACGTAGCATCAAGTATTGGTATATCGTCAGATACTGCCCTGTTTACCAAATGGAAAAGAAATAGAAGATGACCAGTACTCCAAAACAATACAGAAAACAATAATATTCTGAACCAAGAATTGGTGAATAAATGCAGAGCCAGGATGACCCCGATTTTCTTCAATGGTGATTTAGCATTGTGTATAGACTGGACGTCATCTGTCTGTTCGTTAGTAGACTGAGATAACATATAACTATCTCTATAGTGGTCGATTTGGATGTTATTCGTGCCTACCACGTCTCCTGCTTCGAGCAGACGTTCTTTGTTTATATCATCATCATCATCAGCAGCAGCATTATCATCATCTATGCATTCCACGTTAGTGTTGATATTGTCTTTAGTTCTCGTGCCATCTTCTCTCTCCCGTACACATTGCCTTGGTGCTCTCATCAACATTCCACAGACAACAATATTTAAATTAATTCCTGCAATTACAATGATTGCTCCTCTCCATCCGTATGTATCGATTAATACCTGGCACAAGGGTGGGAGTACCATAATGCCAGTACCTGTACCAGCAAAGACAATTCCATTGGCTACGGCATGTCGTTTGTGAAAATAGTGTCCAATAATCACAATACTAGGTCCATAAGACATTCCACTAGCCAGGCCTGATACAGAAGAGAAATAGATTGTATTCATCAATACATATAAACGTATATTGCAATTAAGTGCACATGACATATATGTACATGAGAATGGTCTAGCTTCATAGTAAAGATGCTTACAGTGCTAAATTCATTCAGTCACTAATTACCTCACATATCATTATATACATCTTGAGGTATTTGTTTCAACTGTGACTAATACACATTCAGCTAAACAGATATCAGCATTGTGTTCCAAGAATGTTAAATAATAATAATAATAATAATAATAATAATAATAATAATAATAATAATAATAATAATAATAATAATAATAATAATAATAATAATAATAATAATAATAATGTTATTACACAACCAAAATCATCAGAGGGCTTTGTATGGTAAATAACAAAAGACTAAAATAATAATACTAAATAAATAAAAAGAAAAAAACTAGGGGAAAAGGCATTGGTTCTGTCATTGGTTAGATGTGTATTTATATAATCGAATAATGTATTTTTCAAAAGTTTGGAGAGGGCAAGGTCATGATTCATTATTTTAAGAAAAACATCTGCAGTTAGCTTGCCTGTGATTTTATTAGTAATGTTACAATCTAGAAATAAACATCGTTTTTCAATTTCAAAACATGCACATTCCAGAATAAAATGCATTTCATCACATCATTATTACATTTCTTACACTTTCTATCCTTAATTGGATTTGTGGATTTTTTTCGGCGACCTAATTCTATTTCTATTAGAGTGTGATCACTTACTCCAAATTTTTATAACAATTTCGGAGATTGAAATTAATGATGTTGTCTGAAATAATCTTTTTTTGAATAACTTTCTCAGCTTATTTCCCTCCCCATTTTTATTACCACTTGATTTATTTGGCTGATCTTTCCAGAATAAAGAATATTTAATGTATAGTTTTGATTTTATTGAATCTGATAATTGTTTTAATGTTATTTACTTTAAGGTTGTCAGACTTTAAATCCTCAAGTTCACACTGTTCTACAATGCTTAGAACAGTAATGCTTAATGATGTGATTATTTGGCAGCATTTGAATTCTAACCCTCCAATCCATATAACAGAACTGGTGAAATTAATTTCAGACATCTTGTGATGCAACACTGTATGTCTGACAGTGAACAGTGCTTTCAATGCTTTGTTTTTTTTAGCATTTCTTGATTTAGTTTAAATTTTCCGTTTGGTGTAAAGCTTACATCAAGATAACAGAACTCTTTCATTGTTGTAATAGTCTCATTATTC